CATATATACTGCAATCTTATGTGCATACATTACGAGTTTCTCCAACTACTTCCTACTCGTGTCTCTGATAATCAATCCGCGACGGATGTCGAAACGTCAGGTGAATAAACATAGTGTACCAGCGATCGAGTCTTCTTCTTCTCCTCAAAGTAATGGTCGTTCTTCAAAATAGGGACTATAGTGATTTGTGAAGGAATATAGAGTTTTATAGAAATACCAGCTTTTTGCAGTGTCAAATTCTAAAAAAAAGTGGAAATCGGGCATGCTAGGTAAATGTTGGTGTTGCACATAGGGGAACCCTGTTCATGCAAAACCACTGACTGAATAAAGAAGCACAATTACTACTACGTTAAAAAATTGTTTTGTAAACTATTTGGATGCACATGCTTCCATATTCCGTGCAGTGTAATGTATAGCTGTAACCGAACAACCCTAATTTACAGTACGTATTCCAACAGGGTTTCACGAGTAATGCTGGGTGTTTCTTTCGTTTATACGTTGCTCGAATTACGTTAGGCTAAGATTAATTCACCATCACAACAAACCATCGTTATGCCTGCCATGGTCTGGGCACAAAGTAAACGAACTAACCAGAGGCTTCTGGACTAAAAATGTATTTAACAGCAATAAATTATTCCATTTCGTGCAACAGAACCTTATAATAGATGGTCGGTTCCTGTTTATCCATTATCTCCTGTAGGCGGAGTTAAAAGCTAAAACTGCATATGCTTGCTTGCTGTATTTGCATAAAAGGTTGACACCTCAACAACGATGGAGACTGAACGCCAACAAAACGTGAAGCAAAAAGAACTCAACGTGCACACGGCAGTTCACTAAACATAATACCGGAAATGCAGTTATTTAGTTGCTCTCATTACTGTCGGATTAGATGACCATTATCAGTAGTATTTCCATGGAACCACTACTACAACGACAAAAACAGTATCCCCAGAATAGATATCCTTAACATCAATCCAACCAATACAAGGAAACGAGATGAGCGTCGATACATGCATCTCACAAACTGATAGTTAGGATTTGTGGGTGGAAGCGCAGTAATTCCACCGCAAGAATCAATTTCATTTTGTGGAGAAATGGACTTAAAAATTCATCGTAAATCTCTCAATAATATATAAGAACGGGGAATTTTGCAGATGCACATGGCCTCAGAACCTTCAGATTTACTAGAGCCCATTTAGGTTACCAATTAATCCTCAACATAACAACAAATTACAAATTCAATAAACAATCTAGGATCGGAAAAGTGCTCTGAAAACATACGCCACTTATAAAGTGGGGAGTTTCCAAGTACGGAAGTCTTTTGGACGGAGGGTGTTCTGCGCGGAGCGCGGATGGCTGATTCGCATTTTCAATGTAAGCAGTCACGAGAGAAACTGGGCCAACGCTTTCGATCGGCAGGGTGGATAGGACCGCCTTGAGTTGTATTTGGGTCTGTGGGTCCGCCACTGGTCCGTATGAAGACCCAAGTCCGTTGCCCAGACCAGTTAGCTGGTTGGGTTCAAAAACTAGCATGTGGAAACGTGAAAGAAAGTTACATTCAAACAAAACGGTCTACTGGTGTGTCCAAGCACTTTTAACACCACACAGATAGTTATGAGTAAAAAATTGCATCGTGCCGACACTTTATACTAATTAAAAATCCGGTTGTGTAAATCAGCGAAAACACACTAGCTAGCCGGACCTCGTTAAGCGTTGTTTTGATGTCAATGGCAAACCAAAAAGGTGCATACGCAATGAACTGTTAATTGTATAGAAGTGATGATAGGAACCAGATTTGGTAGTATGAGCTAGAGAATTTGAAGAAAAATTAGTAAACTGCGCATTGTTATAATTTACGCGGTAAAACGGGGCATTCGAAAGAGACAATGGGCGTGCATTTTGAATTCAATGGCCAATGCCCTAGCTATAAAGACTAACAGTTACTACTTACCTCCAAGAACAGGCGAAGGAGTAATGGAAAATTAGTATGTAAAGGCGCAAACAGAGGTCGAAATGGTAGATCATGGAGGATGCGGAACTAACACAATGAACTCGAGGGTTCTTCCTTTCGATTGCTCATCGTGTTTATGACTTAGAATACTTAAACCGTACTAATGAGCAAATGAGCCGGTATTTGATGTTTCCAGGCATGCCAGATGGGCCTATGTTATCACTCTTTCGAATAAGACAACCAAGATTATTATGTGTAGGTAATTACAAATTAGGTGTATTTAAATGAAGAGACACATGGCATTAAATAGAATTT